GGCGGACAGACTGACGTCCCCAGACACGTCCACGACCCGATCCCCACGTGGGGGAGAGACTGTCGTCCCCAGACACGTCCCTGACCCGATTGCCACATGGCGGACAGACTCACGTCCCCAGACACGTCCACGACCCGATCCCCACGTGGTGGACAGACTGACATCCCCAGACACGTTCCCGACCCGATCCCCACGTGGCGGACAGACTCACGTCCCCAGACACTTTCCACGACCCGATCCCTACATGGCGGACAGACTCACATCCCCAGACACATCTCCCTGACCCGATCCCCACGTGGTGGACAGACTGACGTCCCCAGACACGTCCCCGAACGGATCCCCACATGGTGGATGGACTGACGTCCCCAGACACGTCCCTGGCCCGATCCCCACATGGTGGACGGACTGACGTCCCCAGATACGTCCCTGGCCCGATCCCCACATGGTGGACGGACTGACGTCCCCAGACACGTCCCTGGCCCGATCCCCACATGGTGGATGGACTGACGTCCCCAGACACGTCCACGACCCAATCCCCATGTGACGGACGGACTGTCGTCCCCAGACACGTCCGTGACCCGATCCCACGTTTGGGACAGACTGATATCCCTATAGACATTCATGTCCTGACTTCTCTGAGCCTGTGAATATGTGCCCTTACGTGGATAAAGGGACTTTGCAGATGGGGGTGGTTCAGAACCCTGAGATGGGGGTGGTCCTGGATGGCCCCAGTGGTGCAAGGTCTCCACAAGGGTGTTCCCAGGAGGGAGGCGGGAGGCTCAGGGTCGGAGAAGGTGATGTACACACAGAGCAAACATCACGGAGAGACAGAGGGAGGCCGGGGGTTACACCCTCCACCCCAATGGCTTTGAGAATGAGAGGACGCGTCACGAGTCCAGGAATGCCACCAGCCTCTAGAAGCTCGAAAAGGCAAATCAGTTCAAGAGAAATCAAGGCATGGAAGGAAAACCGAGGGATTGTCCCTTGGGGCCAGTGGCACGTGGGGTCAGGGATTGCACACTGGGCGCGTGGCACCCCTGTGTGGCTGGGGCGTGCTGCAGCGATGGGGGGTCCCGGGCACGGAGGAAGGCGTGTGCGGAGGACAAGTTTGGGCTGACGTGAAGCCAACGTGTGGACGGGATTCCCTACAGACAGAAGACGGACGGGGCAAACAGAAAGCCCGTATTTCCTGTTTACAGGGAAAGGACTGATTTGTGCCAATAAACGTCAGGTGCGCCGTGCGGGAAACCTTGAACGGTATCGGGAAAGGTCCGTGGAGAAGAAAGAAAGATCAATACCGTTCTGAGCCTTCCAGAGAGAACCAGCAGCACTAACAACACCCACAGCGGGTTTGTTCCTGGGGGAAGGAGGCGGATGTGGCGTTAGCTATAACCGTGTGGCACCCACACATCACCGCCATATGGCCACACAACCCAATGCATTAAAGAGACGGTTGGAGTCGGATCTTCTGAGTCGCAGGCTCTCCGTCTTCCCCTTCAGGGAGTGTTTCCAATCAAACAGGTGCATCGGGTGTCACAATGTCTCTCTGTAGCCTGTCCTGCCCACGAATGCCGTTCACACCACAGAAGACGGTGAAACGCGGTAAGACAAAAAGAACACACAGACAGCAGATGCATCCTGGGAGCCGGGTTACCACATGGATGCGGGTGGCACAGCCTCAGGACGTGGATTTACCCTCTCCACTCCGTCCACATGACACCCACATCATCAGCCATGTGATTCCTTACCACGGTCCCTTCCATGCCCAATGACTTTGGAGAACAGACTCACTTACGTCTCTGTCGGTGGATAAATTAGCCTCGATGATCCAGGTGGGCTCTTGAACCACAAGACTCCCAGAGTAACATTCTCCCTGCCATCCAACAGATGACTAGTGTTTTTAAAAAATTTTTTCTAATTAACAAAATTGTTCTGAGAAGGAGAACACGTCCAGGGGAGGGGCAGGGAGAGAGGGACCAAAAGAACCCCAAGCAGGTTCCCTGATGTCAACGCACAGCCCCGCGAGGGGCCCTAACTCATAACCGTGAGCTCATGACCTGAGCCAAAGTCAAGAGTTGTAGCAGCAGTTTCCACAATAGCCCAATTATGGAAAGAGCCTAAATGTCCAACAAGCGACGAATGGATAAAGAAGATGTGGTTTATAAATTCAATGGAATGCTACTTGGCAATGAGAAAGAATGGAATCTTGCCATTTGCAGCAACGTGGATGGAACTGGAGGAGATTATGCTACGTGAAATAAGTCAGTCAGAGAAAGACGGATATCGTATGTTTTCACTCATAGGTGGATCTTGAGAAACTCAACAGAAGACCATGGTGGGGGGGAGGGGAAAAAAGTTACAGAGAGGGAAGGAGGCAAACCATAAGAGACTCTTAAATACTGAGAACAAACTGAGGGTTGATGGAGGGTGGGGGAGAGGGGAAAGTGGGTGATGGGCACTGAAGAGGGCACCTGTTGGGATGAGCACTGGGTGTTGTATGGAAGCCAATCTGACAATAAATTATATTAAAAAAAAAAAGAGTTGGCGGCTTGACCAACTGAGCCACCCAGGCTCCCCCACCCCTGCAACAGATGAATAGTTTAGCAAATATTTTATACATTTTGGAAAGAAGGTACAGTGGTTGTAGCTCAATGACTTACGGTCATTGTTTTCGCCGTATTAATACTATCATTTATCTCCTCTACAGTCGACCAGTTGGCCTCCAAGTCTGAAAGCGAGCTGGGACGTTCTTCCGGTATGCGTGTTTGTCCGATAGTTTTGGTGCTCTATGTGGATTCAGTTTGGACACGTGAATGGCGCTGCCTCCTCACCGTGGAGGGTTTGGATGAATCTGTAGGACATCTGTCGAGTGTAGCGTGGGAAGACAGGAATGGCTCAGCTCCATGCTGAGAAACCCAGACGTGGCCACGATGCTCTTAAGAGCAGGGCTGAAAGGAGGGGTCCAGGTCAAGGCTAGTTTGTGTTGAAGACGGACAGGTGGGAGGGTGGAAGGCAGGGTAAGGGGACACACAGACCCTGTGTGTCTGTGTGATGAATGTTGGCTTCAGGGAAGAAGTCAAGAGACAGCTGTGCATGGAGCCTACATACTGATGACGCCCCCTGGGGACACGCTCAATATTTAATAAGGGAACGTGTGAACACGCCCCCCTCTTACACGTTCATAACACACCTTACTTAGCCCATGTGGGCCAACCAAAATATCGACCCCGCACACCGTATCATCAGGCTTACCATCATTGCAAATTGATTATGCCGATGACAACAGCCAAATGCATCAACGAGGCAAAGCGTCATGACAACACCACGTATATTCATGAATTTCCACGCAAGTCCTTCCTTCCCAAAGGACTTCTCTCGTGGGATGGCCAGTGTGCACGTCTGTGTCAGAGTTAACATCTGCATTTCACCAGGACTCACCGTTATTGACCAGGACATGGAGAGGGATTTTCTTCTTCTTGAACTTCTGGACGAATTGCCTGATGGACGTCAGGGAAGCCAGATCACAGTATAAAAACTCCACTGCAAAAGGAAAGAGATGGGGGATTATCTTCCGACCTACTCCAGGAGCTGAGATGGTTTTTAAATAAGTTCGATTCCATCCCACCTGTGGAGGGACACTGGGTTTTAAAGATGAAGGTGGGATTCAGGGATCATAGCCTAGGAAGACCCTCCATGCCTCATGCCCTTGACGATCCCCCATCGTTGCATGTAGACGGCACCTGTGACTTGCTTATAAATCAACAAAATAAGGCATTTCCTTAGGGAAGCAGGGGAGAGAGTCTTCCACTGGTCTTGAAGAACTCAGCCGCCATGTTGAGAGGGGCCATGGGGCAAGATGCTTCTGGCAGCTTCCGGGGACTGACAGCAACCTCTGGCCAACAGGCAGCAGGAAAGCCAGAGCCTCGGACCTACAAACTCAAGGAACTACCAACAACCCCATGAGCTTAGAGGACATCCTGAGCTCCAGAGGGGCGCTCAGAGCATGCAGCCCTTTGGAGCTGCCATCACTTTGCTGGGTCATCGTGCGGCACGATGGTCCTTGGACGGCGACATCGCTGTGGGTCTCTGGGACCGGTTCCTGGGAACATGCTTGCTCGGACGCGTGTGGTTGCAAGAAGACAGAGCACAGGGAAGCATCGCTCCCGCCAGCTATGAGCACTAGCAAATGGGAGTAGGGGTGGGGTGGGCACGCTTCCGGATCAAAGCCCTTCCAGGGGAGGTCTACACACGGGTGCCATCCTGGGAACCGTTTGTTACCGGGTCTGCCGTAAGGCACACCGCGACACCAACAACAGCATTTAGAAAACGAAATAATTGAAGTTCCCATTTTGCCTGGTTGTAACTCTTACTTTTCTCGTAATTCGCGTCTGTCCTATCTACATCGCTATGGATCCGTGACAGCTTTGGGAAAAGGGAGTTTTGCCACAGACAGTTCGGAAGTGCTGTTCTAGAACACAGCGCCATCTGGCTAGGCATTCCTGACACACCGTTCTAATTCTCCGCTAACATATTCACGAGGATATATTGTTTTTAAAGGGGGAAGCCCCTACTGCTTCCCATAACGGGAACCGACGATAACAGGGTTGGTAGACAGACACGCTTGGCTTCCAGAAGCAGACCAACGGTACGAATCTTGGCAAAGTCAGAAGATGCTTCCTCCCCACTCCCGGGAGAAGAGGGTTCCTAACCAGCGGCAAACGTGAGCGCCCCCTTTCCGCCGCGAGAACGTTGCCTCGTGAGGTGCCCCAAGGATCGCGTGGGGGATCATGGGGGCTGCCGCTGTGCAGAGAACGTGAGCCCCCAAATCAAGCCCCCACAGCTGCAGAGGGCAGGGCAGTCCCTGCGGACCAGAAGTCGCCACAGGGTCGATCCCTGATGGTGACAACGTGCCAGGCAATTTGCAGGGCGTGGGCTTCTGGAAGAGGAGAAGCCCCAGGGATGAGCTCAGGCAAGATCGGGGAATCGCATTGCTGGACGCTGAGCTGGTACGTTCACCTAAAATGTGCACCCTCTGCCCCCGCCCCCCGCAAGGTGCACTGGGAGATGGGGCGGGGGTCATTGATCCAGCAGGGCTCGGGGGTGGCAGAAGGAGACACGGGTGGCATTTTCCAGTTTGCCTGGAACGCCATCAGTGATGCCTTCCATTTCTTTCTTTACATTTATTTATTTTGAGGGAGAGAGAGGGGGAGCGTGAGTGGGGAAGGGGCAGAGAGAGGGAGAGGGACGTGGGACTCCATGACACCCACCGTGAGATCACGACCTGAGCTGAAATCGAGTCAGATGCTTAAGCGACCGAGCCACCCAGGCGCCCCCGACATGTTCCATTTCTGTTTGGGTAATGAGAGACGTGGAAGTTGCCACGTCTCCAGACTCTTCACTGTACCCCAGGGGACAAGAAGTAGCCTGTGTGCCCAAACAGATGACGAGAAAACACGAGGTATACCAGTCGTCCGCGTAGGCAAAACGGAAGATCCAGAAAAGCCCTGGAAGGAGGTGGGAGCCTTTAGCTGGCGCTGGTCCTGATTCAAAACCAATATGGCGGCCTCCCACCGGGGTGGGAAGGGGGGGGGGAGAAAAGAGGTGAATTCTTGAATTCTTCTATACACTGATGATGGTTTTGAAAAGTGAGGATTGGGAATAAAAAGGCCAAACATTATCAAGCCGACAA